ACTGACATTTCTGATGCTCAGTCTTTATTGGACAAGTGGGAATATAATAGTTTCCTAGTAAAATTGTCTTGAGAATTAAATTAATTTCCTCGTGGAAAGAGCTCAGCCTGGAGTTTGGTATATACTTGCTCAATAAATGGGAGTTTCTTGTCGCTTCACCAGAGCACCAAGTCCTGTGTTAACCCCTGTGCTTATTCTTCCCCAAAAGGTTAACACTCTCAAAGCTGAAAATGCAAGGGCTGGGGTGCCGCCTCCCACAATTCATTAGATGCCCCCAGGAGAGAGTCCCTTACCTCCTCGGGGGGGCTTAGCTACCCACCACCCTTCCCTTTCACCCCAGGACCCCTTGGACGATCACCTGAGTGGCTGGAAGCCGCAGAAGCAAGGCTGAGGTCCGGCACCAGGGGGCCTCTTGCTGACGATAGGAGTCAAAGACAAAAGGTGAGCAAGTGCAATTCCACTAGCCTAGGATTCTTAACGTCTGCAGTTTGCAAAGCACCATCTGAAAAGCACTCACACAGAAACGTATTAACGCTCTTAATGAGGTTCCATGTCCAATAATTTTGAGAGATTCTGGATTGAACAATGTTAAGTCAGGTTCTTAAAGCAGGACTTCTCAGAGCCATTTTCCAAAATATTTTGTGAGGAATAACAAGAGATTTTGCCGACGTGGACCTACCTAGACCCGCTCTGCTCTGAAGGAGGATCCTCTTTCTGGCTTTGGGGATGGGGGCTTTAGGTACACATTTCAACATGCATCATCTCAGTCCTGTTTTTTCTTTGGGTGTGTGGGGGCGGGGGCAGTGCAGGGAGTTTAGTAGCTGCAAACCAGTTGATTGGAGAAGCAGTGCTTTAAAATCTTTCATCCGAGCCTACGTGTGAAAACGTGTCTACTCGTGATACGTCTGGGGTCCTGAATCACAATATGCCCGTTTCCACCACCTTCCATAACTGTCCCTGTTTACGTAGCATGCTGGGAAAATTCCTGGAGCCCAGTTCTTTTGCACACTGAACAGAGGAAGAATCATTTCCATTGACAGAATTTAACACATTCCTGTTTGGAAACCACTTTTTGATGCCAAGGATGGATTTGTAGAGATTTCTTACGTTCTGGCTCTGGTTGGGATTTGTGCTTGTCTTCACAGGACTCACGGTCAGTGTTCACATCTGAGCTGCCATCCAAAAAGGATATTGTCCAAGCTGAGAACACAATGGGAGAGGTGGAGGCAGAACATGCATAGATTGGAGGATATTGGTTTTAGAAACTTCCAACCCTAGGAAACCTCTCTTCGTGCCCCTAATGCCTACAGGACCTTGCCTTATCTCTCCTTGGGAATGTTGCTTAATGTCACAGGGCCAGATCATTCCAATTTATAATGGAATTCTATTTAGATTTTAGCCCATTAAAGTAATTCTGTGGTTTGCCTATCAAATGACTATTTATTTTTGGCCACTTGCCTTATTTTGTTTCCCATGTGGATGGATCCCCAGGAATCACCTGGGAGTCTTGCTAAAATGCAGATACTGATTCAGTAGGTCTGGTGGCTCCTAACAAGTTCTAACAAGTTCTCAGGGGATGCTGCTGGTTCACAGACCATACTTTGAGTAGCAAGATTCTAAGAAACTCAACTTCTAGTGCCTTGGAGCAGAGCAGACTCACAATCATGCCTGTACTGTGGGTTTGAAGAGAACAGGACCTCAATTCTTTTTCAGATCTGCACTGCACTTTACAGTGTAAAAGCCCTTTTGCATACATGACTCAGCAAATCCTTACCATGAGACTGCAGAGGACGTGGGGTGAGTGTTTTCAGTCCCCTTTTACAGATAAAGAAACTGAAGTTGAGCAACATCCCCTAGGTAACAGAGCTAAAAACCAGTTGGAGAGCCCTGGAATTCAAATCCAGACTTCCCAGGTGCTTTTCCATCATGCGTCAGTTCCCGCTGGAGAGAGCACCAGGTGGAAGGTCACCAGACACGAATGCTCATCTCAGCCCCACCACCAGCGTGCAGGGTGACATGGTAAGTTATGTAAGCTCTCTGGACCCCCAAAGACATGATACACAGACAGGATTCAGTGATATCTCAGACAGCACTGGCATTTTGTGATTCTGTGTGGCCGGAAGAATTTCCCGAACTTTAAAGAGCACATGAATTACCTGGGGCCCTTGTTAAAATGCAGTCTGATTCAGTAGGTCTTTAATGGACCCCAAGACTGCATTTATAACAAGTTCCTAGGTGATACCAATGCAGTAGATCCATGGGCCATGCACTTAATTCTGGCTGTATCTTGGGATCACTTGAGGAACTAAATCTCTGGGTCCCATCCCCAGTGACTGACTCAATTGATCTGGGGTGGGGCCCAGAGTTGGCATTTCTTGAAAGCTCCTAAGTGATTTTAATGTGCAGCCAGAATTGAGAATCACTGTGCTCTAGGGTTGGGCTCCTCACTGGAAGGAGTTTGCACCAACAGGTAATACGCTTTCTGATAATAGTTGAGCTCCCCTCCCGGAGTTTCTGATACTGGATGAGTCATGTTTTCAAATTTTTACCGGGAGAGGAACTACCTTCCAGCCATTGTTTTCTTTCTTCTACTATTCTAACTCCCATGTCCTTTGGAAATCCCATTGGAGATGAATCTAGAAAGTCACTCTCTTGGCTACAGCAGAGAGTAAAGTGTCAGCTTCTTTGTACCAGATTCTAGGTGGGGTTGGTGGTAGGAAAGCAGTCCCCAGAAATCCTCTCCTCACATCAGTCCCCATCTGGATCAGACAAAGTCATTGCTACAAGGTTTTCTTACCTTGTTAGGACATTTGGAGGTCTCCTTTATCCCAATTATTTGTTTGGAAGAGTGATTCCCAGAGTGTGCACTGATGTGCCTTGGAGTGCCTCACTGCATCACAGGGGTGCCATGGGATATTTTAAAGTTTTGAGGAAACGTGGACATCTGTTAGACTCATGCAAACCACTACCATTAAGTTGTTTCCACCTGAATTCTTAAACAGAGCTGTCAGGCGTTTCTTTTGCCTTAGAAGCTCTGTGAAGAAACTCCTCAGACACTAAGGGCACTGTGAACTGAGAAAGTTTGGGAACCTCTGGTTTAGAAGTTGGAGGTTGCATCCCTTGGGCAGAGTACTGCCTTGGGATTAGTAAATACTTTTGACAGTGCATTCAGGTGTGGAAAGAAAGCTCATAGAGTGGGATTGGGATGTGCTAGGAGACAGAGATGACTAGATTGACCTGCCCAATAAAGAAGAACAAGTGATGCTTCCACAAGCAGCTCGAGAAGGACAAGGCAGGGGAACTAAGAATAGGGAGGAGCCAAGGGAAATGAAAGAAGAGAGAGCTGGGACCAGAGGAATAATATGTCCTCTGGGAAGTTCCTGATGGTGGTGACATTGATGGATTTCTACCAGGAAGGGTATAAATTTCTTGCTGGGCCGCTGTCATCCCCTGTGGCTACTAGCTCCTTGCTACTCAAAATGTGGTCTGGGGATCAGCAGCATCAGTGTCACTTGAAAACTTGTTGGAAATTCAGAATCTGGGGCCCCACTCCAGACCCAGAAACAGACTGCATTTTTTATTTATTTTTTGTGAGGAAGATCAGCCCTGAGCTAACATCCATGCTAGTCCTCCTCCTTTTGCGGAGGAAGACCGGCGCTGAGCTAACATCTATTGCCAATCCTCCTCGCTTTTTTTCCCCTAAAGTCCCAGTAGATAGTTGTACGTCATAGTTGCACATCCTTCTAGTTGCTGTATGTGGGACGCGGCCTCAGCATGGCCGGAGAAGCGGTGTGTCGGTGCACGCCCGGGATCCGAACCTGGGCCGCCAGTAGCGGAACACGCTCACTTAACCGCTAAGCCACCGGGCCAGCCCACAGAATGGATTTTAACAAGATCCCCAGATGATTCTCATGCACACTGGCATTTGAAAAGCACCGTGCTAGCTGATAGATTCTCAAGCCTTGGGACATTGAAATAAGGAGTTAAAAAAAATACTGAAGCCTGGGTCTCACCCCCGGAAATTCCTATTTAATTCTTCTAGAAAGCAGGCTCAGCATTAAGATATTTAAAAGTCTTCCAGGTGTTTCTAAAGCCAAGGTTGAGAACTACTGGGCTGGTACAACTGGTACAACCCATTTGTGACAATGGGTTTTTTGGGGGAGGAAACCAAAGTTCTGGGTCAATTTGGAACCAACATAGGAAAAAATCGAAATATATGAGCCATGAGAGAGATCAGCAGATATTAGAAATCAGTGACTACAAGAGATATCCCTGAGGTATTAGGGAATAGGGTTGGAGAAATTGGGTTTCCATCATATGTTGGATAGAGGATGAAGCCAATTCCTACTTAAATGTTGCGAAAAAGATAACCTCAACAGCCTGGAGGACTTGGAGACATCTAGATGACTGACATCCAGTTACGGACAGAACTGGCTCACAAGGCTAGTGAAATTCACAACAGATTTTCAGATGGTTTCTGCTCAGATGGTATCCACAGATTCACCCCCAAAAATGCTATATTCAGCCATCAAGCAAAGAATGCTCGAAGCAGTGGATTCCAAAAGCACTTTCCTAAGACAAATTCTCTATTTGCCTTCAAAGTTAGTCATTCCAGCCCCTGGAATAGAGGAGTGAGTGTCATCAGTGGTACCCTACTACAATGCACCAAGGTACCTATGTTCTTGAGTTCCATTCTCTCCTTCCCCCTATATCATTCACAACCCATTGATTTCTAGGGCAAGCCTTCCTGGGAGAAAATGTCTGTTCTTGTACTGGAGCAAGTTGCTCAGAGTAGGTCTTAGGGGTAAAATTTGGAAAAGTTTGAAAGGCCATAAGGAGAGGAGGTCCTCCTAGTGAGAAAACAACCAGGCCAAGCCAATGAGTGCTATTTCATCGCCCCAACCATGCAGGTCCGTAGCTAAAGAAGACGGTTAGGCTTGGGCCAGAGGGTTGAGAAGGGCCAAAGCGGCTGGTTCCCTCAGCCCAGAGGGATATTCCAGAAACCAGGGATGTGCCGTGCCTGTGGCTCTGAGTGGATGTTGGAGCCCTGGTGTGTCTTGTATACCACTGAGACTGTGCTCATCAGGAATGGATAGCAGATGGGAGTGGATGGGAGTGGATAGATGTGAAATTATGACAGCAACAATTAGTCAATAGCTCACTGGTGGGGCAGATTAAATATGACTGCAAATTCTTTGATATTCTTCTCCTTGAGTGGTGTAGTCTGTGTTCCCTCCCTTTGACTCTGGGTAGGCTCTGTGATTGCTCGGCCAAGAGAAAATAGAGTGCAGTGGAATTGTGCCCATTTCTAGCCTCTTCTAGGTATTGAGGACTGGCAGCTTTTATTTCCTTTCTCTTGGAATACATGTTCTTGCAAACCAGTCATCATACGGTAAGAAATTCCAAGCAGCCTCACTAAGGGGCCCAAGTGGAAAGGAACTGGGGCCCCACTGACAGCCCCAGCTGAGCTCCTAGCTGACAGCCAGCACCAACATGCCAGCCAGATGAGTGAGCCTCCTGGAAATGAATTTTCCAGCCGCAGGTGAGCCACATGAAACAGAGTAAACCATCTCAGCAGAGCCCTGCCCATATTGCAGAATTATGAGCAAAATAAGCCACAAAGTTTTGGAGTGGTTTGTTATACACTAATAGATAAATCGGAACAGAACTTGGTACCAGGAGTGAGGTGCTACAGTAACTAAAGCTTAAAACATGTGGTACTGGCTTTGGGTTTGGGTGGCAGGTGGAAGTTGGAAGGCTTTGAGAAGAATGTTAGTGACGGCTTGAGGGACAGTGAGGAAAGTGCTATTGAAAACTGGAGAAAAAAATGATGCGTGTTGTGTAGTGGTGGGAAGGTTGGCAAAACGGTTGCTTGAAGTAATGTGGAAAATTGTAAGACCTCAGAAAGATTTACGGGCATGCCTAATAGGTCCTTTAAAAAACTTTAAGGTCTTGTGCCATGGAAGTCTCATAGCTGACCCAAGGGAGAGAGGGCTGTCTTCAAAGGAAATGTAGGTGTGTTTTTTTGTCTAATAAAATTGATTATAAATTGATAATGCAAAACCTTTTTTTTTTTTTTTAAAGATATTATTTATTTATTTTTTCCCCCCAAAGCCCCAGTAGATAGCTGCATGTCATAGCTGCACATCCTTCTAGCCGCCGCATGTGGGACGCGGCACCAGCGTGGCCGGAGAAGCGGTGTGTCGGTGCGCGCCCGTGATCCGAACCCGGGCCGCCAGCAGCAGAGCGCACGCACCTAACCACCAAGCCACGGGGCCGGCCCATTGCAAAACCTTTTTAAAGGAATTGTACTAGCTTGGATTGAGAGGGACAGAAAAGTAAAAAAATAAAAGGATGCCTTATTATATAAAATATAATACATATAACAAAAATAATGACCACAAGGATGTCTACATCCTAATTCCCAGAACCTGCGACTATGTTACCTTTCACGGAAAAAAGGACTTTACAGATGCAATTAAGTTAAGGATCTTGAGATGGGAGAGAATTCTGGATTATCCAGGTGAACTCAATGTAATCACTAGGGTCCTTATAGGTGACAGAGGAAGCCAGGAGGATCAGAGTTAGAGGGATGCACCGTTTAAAAAGAGTCGACCAAAAAAAAAAAAAAAAAGAGTCGACCAGCCATTGCTGACTTTGAACTTGTAAGGGGGCCATGGAACACGTGAGCATGGCCAGATTTGGCCCACAGGCCATAGTTTGCCTGATTTAGATGAAGGCCTGGACTCCAAGCTGATGCCTTAACCGGATGAGACTTTTAGGGCCCTTGGGAGGGCAGAACTGTATTTTGCATAAAGGAGGAGTTGAAATAATCTGTGGCCAAAAAGCAGACCATGATAGATTAAAAATAAATGCATAATTCCTTGACATTTCTCCCATTGAGAGATGGCATTTATGTGTACTCCTCTTCAGTCAGCGCAGCTTCTGTGATGGATCAATAGAATATGCCAGAATTGAAGTGTTGCCAGTTCCTGGACCCATGCCTTAAGAGACTAGCAACTTTCCCCATTCTTCCGCTCTTCTGTAGAACCCAGCTGCCATTCTGTAGAGAAGCCCAAGCAGGCCTGAGGAGAGTCCATGAGGACAGGAACTGGGCGCTTGGCCAGTAGCCCTGGCCGAGCTCCCAGTCAGTAGTAAGCACCAACTTGCTAGCCACTTGAGTGAGCTACCTTGGATGTGAATCCTCCATCTCAGCTAAACTCCCTGACACTGCGTGGAGCAGAGATGAGCTGTTCCCACGGAGCCCTTTCCAAATAGCAGATTTTTGAACAAAATAAATGATTGTTGTTGTTTTAAGCTACTAAGTTTTGGGACAGTTAGTAAGGCAGTGGTAGGTAACAGAGATACTTGGCTTTCTGTGGTCTTTTATTGTAACCATCGTCAACTGCATGAAACCATTAAACCGCGATGAAGGCAGTAGAAGACGACGAGGTGGCGGCACATCCACTTCTATAACAAGGTGTCTGTGGAGAGTAGCCATGAGTGCAAGAAAAAAGGGAAAGGGTAGGTGAGTCAGGAGTGAGACTGGGTTAGGCAAGACTTCTGCTCTCATTTGCTTTTTCTTAACAATCCAAGGAGTCCAGGCAGAAGTGGCCTCTCTCGTCTCTTCTTCCAGGTGCTCACTCAGACCCAACTAACCTCGAACTCCACCTCCTCCCTGTCCCCTAATCTTTAAAACGTGAAGCACCCCCAGGAGACCTCCCTTGACCAAGTCCCCCAAGGACCTACTTCTTCCTACAGCCCATTGGCTATTTGATTATTTATTTCACTTTCCTCATTTTTCTTTGCAAACGTTCCTTAATATTTTAAAATAATTTATTAATTTTTAGCATGACTATGTTTCACGATGACACAAATAGATGGTTAATTCAGGGAAAAATACATAAGCCAGCTTGGAACCTAGCACAACAATGAGTATAATGATGGACATTTATCGAGCACTCGATACGTGTTACACACTCTCTCTGTGTTATTGCACTTAAGTCTTACACCTGCCCCAGCATACAGACAAAGGAGGGACTTGGAGGCTGAGGAAATGGCCTAAGGCCACGTCTGGTAAGCGGGAGAGGGGCTGTAGCTCAGGTTTTTCTGACTCCAAAGCCATGTTCCTAACCATCCTACTACACTACTTCTTAATCACTATGAATGTTTAATGTCTATCCTTCTAGTCTTTTATTTTCATATATATTTATTTATAATTACAAATATAGAATCATGCAAGAAAAGTTGATTTATTTTTGTCACTAACAGTGTATCTTGAATTCCTTTCCATGTCACAAGATAGGCTTCTACGAGATCATTTGTAATGATTACATAACGTTCCATTGAATGTGTGAGGATATGTAGACAACTCTCTTCCCTTTTCAGCCATCATAGGAGTTTTTAGTAATGAGAGACCCATCTTTCTTGGGAGAATTCCTTGTTAGTCCTTCCATGGGGTACAAGACTCCCCAAATCATACCAAAATGACAAAATATGGTCATTAAACTGTATTCTAAGGAGCATCTGTTCTGTTTACTGTACTGGTCTTTCTTTTAGTAAACTCTGAAATGGATAAGCAAGGAAAATTTGAAAGGAATGGGGGTGGAGAGTTGAGCAAAATGGTGTTCAGTAAGAAAGGACCAGACTAGAGCTGGTGAAATTTTGATGGGAGGAAAGGAGTGGAGGAAGGAGGAGAGCGAGGAAAGCAGGGGAGGGGAGGGAAGAAGGAAGGGCTGGGAGGGGAGAAGACACTTAGTGGCTTCACGACTCGGAAAGGGACATGCAAAGAAGGGACATTGGAGGATGGGGTGATTAAGTTGTTTCTGGGGGGTTACACTGTAAACCTTCTCCATGTCTCCTTCAAGTCTCCAGTACCTTCCGTATTGCTAACACATATTTGGGTCCAAGTGGACTCTTTTTTGGCATAAATGGCTCAAAGTTGAGGAAAAGGACAGCTTCCGTATGGGTTATATATGGACATCCCACAATTTATTGAAATGATTTCATATCATTGGACATTTAGGTATACCCTATAAACTCAGCAGTGGGGTGAATATTTCCTTAGAAGACTTACAAGAGGAAGTTCTAGGTTAAAGAGTAGGCATAGGGTAAAGCTTTTAATGTATTTGAAAACTTTAGAAATTTGTTTGGTAACATGCAGAAATTGCAACTTTTTTTGATTTGTTGTCTTAACATTTCACTTCTCTAGCCTATTGTGACATCATATTGAAAGAAGCCTTTGTGGTAGATTGTGAGCTTCTCCAGGTCTGTGGGCTGGGATGCTACTTCCTTTCCATCTGTGCAGCCCTAGACAGGACCCAGCACAGTGAGCATTTCAGGCTCATTTCCGAGGGCTGCATCTCTAACTGTCGGCCTTACCTGCCACTGCTGTGGATTCGACCACCCAACTTCGTAAGTGCCTCTCGTGCATGTAGTTGTTGGCAGCGTCCGTGGTTGTTTTACCTGAAACACAAGATAACTCCCCAACAGAACTGCTGACCTGATAGGATTTTGGTCACGTTGCTTCTCAGTCTCTTCATTTCTGAAAAGGTTCAGTTTCACTGAGTGACTCCACGTTTCCCAGATCAAAACGTCCTCGTGGCTACTTAGCAGAGATAATGGCCCAACCTGTAGGTAGAGTAGGTGACAGTCCATATGTGGAGAAAAGAGGGAACAAGAGTGGTCCGGGTGATGTTTCCTGTGAGGAAAATGGTGATGACAGGTGTTTCTGCACATAACTGTTCATAGGTAAATCTGAGGGCGAGGCGGCCTCCAAACCCTTCTTGCCAAGGTGTTGAGGCATCCTGATAGAGTGACACTATACTGTGGAGTGATGCGATCTGTGGACATCTTGTGGTGTGGTAACTCTAGGTACCAAACCAGAAACCATGCCAGGTACTGAGCAAACTCAGCCACAGCATGGGTCACGTGAGTGTTTGTGGCTCTATCAATTGCCTTAGAAACAGACCTTGGGACGCAGTCTGTTCCTACCTCTGGATTTGGGTGTGCCTTTACATTGTGCCCAGTGAGTGGCTGCAGCTTAGAGCCCGAACCTACAAGGCTATGAAGCCCAG